CATTGAAGTTTCCTCCAAACTTCGTGATCTAGATATTTTATTTTCATTTTTTAGGTTACGTGTCTCTACCAAATGTATCTGGTTATATAATTTTCTTTTTCTCCCTTTTCTACTAATGTGACTATTCTAGTTGATTAGTTCCATTTTTAAGTGCATCATCCATCTCTATTCCTTTTATTACCCACCCCCTGCTTTGTGACCTCTTTGTTTCTGTTTTTGTTTTAGAAGCTCTATCATTTAGTTCTTTGAGCCTTTGCAAGCCTCCAGCAGCCTGACATTCCTCTTATTCTATCTATGTCTGATGCACTGGATATGTGATCTGTACTTGCCCTCAGGAAAATTGTGAAATGAATGTAATCTGAAATACCTTCCCTTCCCTCTTTCCATGCTTCTCTTTCCTGTTCTTTAGCCCCTTCCTATAGGTTCAGTGATTCTCAGACTATTTTGCTAGATATTTGAAGACTACTGAAAACTGATAAAATGTTAACCCCAAGTATTATAGACTAATAAGTTTCCTTTATGGGGGTATTTATAGTTTGAAAGAAGACTAAATGGAGGAAGCAGTGTGAGCATGAAGGTGAGGAAGTGCCAGACCTAGAGTGGGGATGTTGATGCAGAATGGGTCAGTCTCCTTCCAGTACCCTCAGATACTTTGGTGTTGAAGAGACCTTTTGAGGCCATGCAAAATCCCACTGTCATACACGATATTGTCAAAAACCGAATCAATGCAAAAGCAAAGCTGCATGTTTATTTCATTGAAAAATTATAATAGACACTGTGCTACTTATATATTCATTTAGTTTAAAATTAGTTTTTGTGGGTTTTCCAAATACTAGCGCCGTACAATATTTTATTTTGAGTTCATGGTCTGTTGAATTGTGTTAATTTTGGAAATTAAAAGATAATTCAAAGCAGAAACAAAATAAAATAATAACAATTAATAATCCTCTCTGATCAACACCATTTCTAATTTTGAAGATTAATTTGTTTCTAATTATTTTGTTATATATGCAGGAATCTAGTTTTTGCTAGTAAAATATTACCCAGAACTAAATAAATACCTTATTACTTTTATCATTTTTATAAATTAAGCTATTATACAACTTGAAAAATATTTGTAGGTATAAATATACTTCGAGTTTAGTGAATGATAGGATCTCAAGAACTATGACTATAACAAACTCTAGAAAGGAGCTAAGTCTTTGAATTTAGCTATAATTCATATGATATGCCTAATGTAAAATGAAGCACAATGTTCTATGTAATAATGTTCTCATGTATAATGATGGCATCTAACACAAAACATGCATAATTAGTCTCATTTTCCTTAGTTAAACCAATAATGATTATTTGCCAAAACATTAACACTTGCCCCTTTATTAAGAAATATAGCCCTGGCTGGTGTAGCTCAGTGAATTGAGCACGGGCTGTGAACCAAAGGGTTGCCGTTTGATTCCCAGTCAGGGCACATGCCTGGGTTGAGGGCCAGGATCCCAGTGGGGGCCATGTGAGAGGTAACCACACATTGATGTTTTTCTCCCTCTCTTCCTCCTTCCTCTCCCCTCTCTCTAAAAATTAAAAAAAAAGAAAGAAATATAATTGTTTTCTGTTAAACTAGAAAGTTGAATTGCAAATGTGTAAACTGATGTTTCAGTTGCTTGACTCCTCATTTTTCTCGGTTTATGGGAGGCACCTTCTATCTGTAAAATTGTATTGATTTTATTAAAGATGACTGTGCTCCTATTGCTTAGGTTCATTGAATAAGTCTGTACTAATATAGCTGTAAATCATGGATTAATTTAGTAATCATCAATTCAATAATGCCTTTAGAATCTAGGCAAGTTGAAAGTTCTTAAACTTGAAAAAAGTCATAGTCCTTGACATGGAGAAGGTTATAATTTCTGCTGGGGAGAAGCTATGGAGACAACTAAAGGTTACTTTAAAGATATATAAATACTGTAAAAAGTCAAGTATGGAATAAAATCCTTAATTTCTCTATTAACTAAACAGTGTATGTAGACTAAAGAGTACTGGAATATGCAATTCAGGGAGCAGTCGAGTTAGTTTTTAAACACGATTAACGGGTCTGTTACTGTTAACTGTATTTGCATTTTCAATATTTCCTGGATATGTATAAAGGTATGATACCAAAAATAAAAACAAAACAAGCTAAATAGACAGCAGAAAAGCAATGGTTAGCAAGTTAATTTTAAGGATTCCATTTACACATTGGTGGATTCAAATCACTGTCAAACACTATTATTTGTTTTCCTCAGAAGTCACATTTAGCCTGGGGCCCCCATGGAGTATGATTAAACTATCACCCTAGATAACATTAGAGTTGCTAATCTGCAGTCAATTATTTCACATATCACACAGACTGTAGTTACTAAACTGAGCCATAATTCCTAAACCACAGTTTATTCAGGAAGATTTTAGTGCCTACTTGTTTAATACAGTCTTATAAATGATCCCTCACAAAGGATGCAAAAATCAACAAATATCTTTAACGGGCTAATTGTGTTTCACTGCAGTGTTGCGTCTACAAAAGCTTTTCAATAGCGAGAGAAATGGTGGCATTTTCAACTTAACTTGCAAATATAATTGCCATTTAAATGTCTTTCTGTTTCTAACTTAAGTTCTTTTTTGACAGCAGAAATGTCCCCAGACCACTAATAGAGTATTTAAATAATTTTATTTATTGAAAGAAAATCCAAGGGAAAATAACATACAGCTATCTGAAACTATTTAGCAGAAAGAAAATGTTAAAAGAAAAAGTAAGTTAAATCTAAACTTTGAGATCTAAAATGTAACTAATAATCGATATAAACTTAACACAATGTATATTTGATTAAACTTACAAATTTAAATATATCAGTGAGACTCAGGAAATAAAAATGATGTCCTGGGAATCCAGGACAATAACAAAGAGCCATAAAAACAAACTGAAGCTAAAAAGCTAATCCCTATTTCATAGAACTTTCCATCATTTCATTGAAAAATAAGAGTACATTTTTAGCTCAAGTCAAGAAAATCAGTACAATTAATTCAATTCAATCAGTTGTAAATATTCCCTTAAGAAAACAATTTCAGTTTCTATCCAGAATTTAACCTCTTCCTACACAAAATTTTGAACTCTAATTCTTTATTTTTAAATACTCAGTGTGGGTTCAGGGTAGTCTAATCATCACTCATAATTTATTAAGATTTACTTTAATAATGTCAATAAGTAGTCCATATACAAATATATGGAATATTTATTTCTCCCTAACTTCCACTTCTGTTTCTAAGCAGACATTAACATATGATGGGTTGATTCTTAATTGACATATTTCACATTAAAATTTCAAGTATTCAAGGCTTAGTTTTTCTATGTAATAACATATATATTTATTTATAAATATTATGTATACTCAGCAAAGAACTTTTTATATCACATTTGAAAAAAGGTCTGATCATCCTGTGGTAGCTTTTTTTTTTTAAGCTGAAGTATAAAATGCCAGAGACATTGCTTTTTAAAAATAAGCACTAAGAAAACTAATTAAACTAGTTAACTACAAAGGGAACATTGTAGGAGGGGAAATATCTTGGGATTGAACCCTATGATTTTATTGTTTTCACAGAAAATGTAATAACTCCTCATTGACATCAACTACCCAGTTGCAAGAAGAGTATACCTTCTGTTTTGTTGAGACACAGACAAAGCAATTAGTAAGAAGTATTCATCAACCAAGAAGAAAATGAATTGGGCATAAAATTTTTCCAGTTTACATGTCTGTTGAGAGGCCCTGATAGTCGAAAGGCACATTAAAAAAAAGTTTTAGATAAAGACCATGCATTCAAAAGAATTCTTTGAAATCATTCTATCAAAACCAGATTAGTCTGTTGTCACCTTTCAAATTATGAATCAAAAAAAGTCATGAAAATACCATAGCCAGTTTGAAGTAAAGAACTAAATTAATTAATTATTCTTCAAATTACACATTTTGACAGATAAGTTTATTATAAAGTCTTTAAAATAAAAATGCATGTTTGGTGAAAAGTTAGTACAGTTGTCACTCATATTTTGTCATATTTTAAAATATGAAAGTAATGAATGGCATCGTGACTCTACCTATAACATGATGTAACTGACTAGCTGGTCTGTGATCCTGACCACAATGGTTCTCACACTTCATTGCCATGCCAAAGTCAATTCTGGGATGGATGTGAAGTACCATTAGTTTATCTTATTTCACAGCACTGTGGTATACCATGCATCTTTCAAGTCTCTTAAGGAAAATTTCATCACACGAAATGGAAAAAACATTTTAAACCAGGGATACATAGTATATTATAATTTGTGATGGAATTAAAAATAGGTAGCAGGAAAAAAGGGCAGCTACATATATATTATATATATACATATATTATATATACATATATTATATATACATATATATTATATATAATGCATGTAAGAGAAGACTCCGATTTTAAAGCATAAAATAAGTTATTTTATTTTTAAATAATGCATAGTTAATGAGTATTTAATATAAATTCTACAAATATAATGGGACTATTGTTAATAATGAAAGGTAATGATGTTGGGCATGATCAGGGACTTCTGAAAACCTTAGTGAAGTTTAACATCTAAGATGCCATTAGTTTGGGGATGCACTATTATTTTATATATCACTACACAGAAATGCTACCAATTGTACTTAAAATAAATAGGCCTGATTGCAGAGATGTTAAAATGTGAAGAAACAAGCATATTTAAACCGAAGAAACATAGTAATGCTCCTAAATAATCAGGGATTAGTTACTGGCAGTAGGAGATTACATAGCATAACCTTTCTCCTGGAAAATTAAAATCTCCATTGCCTGATGCCTTCCTATAAAAGAAAAAAAATTGACATCAATTACGCTTAAAATATGTTATCAAAAAGAAAAGAGGGGGATATGTTAGTGGATTCAACTTATAATAAACACAAAAATATTAGAAAAAGGAAGGCAGTTGGTAAAAAGGTAAATTGTCATTATTATCACTAATATTAAAGAAGAGACTACTTAACACAATTTACATGTATTTCACTTATCCCAGTTTTTTGAATTTCCTGCATTTTTATTCATTGACTTTCAATTAAAGCAACTAAACATTTGATCTGGAGTGAAAAACATTGCTTTTAATTCTAAGTTTGTTGGTTTGCATAAATGATTCAGAACCCACTTGAGATATATCTTTAATTTATTACTGTATTGATAAATACGATTGCTTTGCAGTTCTTTTGATTGCACTTTGTTCTTGGCACTCATCAGCACTTTCTTGATTTAATTAAAATTAATTTTTGAAGTACCAGCCAGTTCTCTTCAAGTTCTGAAGCATTGTGTATTCTTACTGTGTAAAAGGAAACAGAAATTCTTACTACCTTATCAATGTTTAATTGTAGGTTCGAAACTCTCGCAGCAATTTCTTTATGTAAAGTTACTTAGGAGACAAGGAGACTTGTTTTCCTAGAAAGGGTATGTCTATCCAAATATTCTGAATATAGTTTTTTAGTTTTTTGCAAAATCCTCACTTAAATCGGAGTTCAAGAAAAGAAGGCAGCAATGAGTTAAGCCTCTGTTTAGATCTAAAACCTTTTCCTTGATATCACAAGCAATGAGTGTGCAGAAAGGCAATTAAAAAGAGGATCCACTAACAGGGGATAGTTGAGAAAAGTGCATATTTGCCACACAAAATGGAAGGCAAACTGAAGGGAGATTTAGCATATATTAAGCTAAGTGCCCAAATACTGTCTATCTCTTTGGTGTAATAAAATAGATGGTTGACTGTAATTTTGAAAAAAATTCAATATGCCTGATTTATTTTAAAAAGTCATGAAATTCATGTGTTTTTCTATTTAATTTAAAGGTTTTGGTTTAGCTCAATTCTCTATCACTACCTGCATTTTCAGACCGGTCCCCTCTTTAACTATGAGAATACACATTAAATTCCAAGTTCCTATTTGTTTCATATTTTACTTTTAAAAGATATGACACTTTTTAACATGTATCACAAATATAGATGAGTGCATCAGGGAGTTCCTATTAGAATTTCTTCCTGTAGACATTAAGGTACATGAAGCACTGAAGAGTCACCCCATGGTAACATAGCAGATAAACTGTGTAGCTAGTCTCCTTCTGGTGACAGGTGGACATTGCTCAACAAACACACGTACTGCTTTTCATACCTTCCCTGGAAAGAGGCTTTATTGAACATAGCTGTAAAATTATCTTTTAAGTTGAATGACTGAATTTGCACAAACATTTCTACAGAATTAAAAAAAAAATCAAGCTGTGTCATTTTTCTACTACATTTTGTTGTGCTTTTTATATTAATATTTGCAAATGTTATAATTTAATACTTATATTCCAATTACTTGCATAATCAGTTTTTTAAACTCCTGGGGTGTTGAAAGAACGTATAATAATAATAATATTCTTCTTTAGACAAAAGTCTTTTTAAATGAAGTTAAAAGCTGAGATAATTTAAGGAAAAAAGATCTTCAAATTTTCATAACGAACAGGTTTAAGTGAAATTTACAATGCATTGGAAAACTGGCTGGTTAAAGGTATGATTTGTCCTCAGGTAGCTCAAAATCATTTTTACAGGTTTTTGTTTTTTTGTAAAAGTGTTTTTAATCTTTGTAAAATAATAAAATAATATTTCACAATTTGCACAGAGTCTGACTAAAGGGCAGAGGCATATTCCCCTCAGTGTTTAGAATAAAGCCATATTTTTCGGGCCCAGTTCTGCTGTAGAGTTCGTATGCACTGCAGTTGCAAACATTGTCTTTTTCCCTCTAAAGCTAGGGCCGATTTCATTTCAAATGGAGGTTAAAGTAAAAAAAAAAAATCGCTCATGTTTTACCACCTTCTACGCTAAATATTATCTTAACCTTTTGTTCTGGTTGACCCATTTAATAACCTGGAAGAAAAAAAGTGTCGCTCTCATGTCTGGTCTCAGTGGAAGTCATTCTGTAATAGACAATAAGCCGAAAGGCCATGGCTGTCCGGACAAACAACAAATATTTCGTCTGCATGGGCTTACGCAGCAGCTTCGGTCCTTTCTTCTTCAGAAGCGGCTTTGTTGTCTTGCCTGTAATTTGCACATTTAGGCTCTGTAGTTTGTTTATAAAATAGTTTTACACAAACCACTCTTAGCAGTGCAAGCTTCTGAGTTGAAAATTATTCAGGCTTGTTTCATTGAAGGCACTTAGTTTCCATGGCAATTTATAAAAGATGGTGGTTTGGTTTCTTCATTGGAACAGATGACTTAATTTGGGTGTTCAAGTGGCCGCGAGCACACTCCGATAAGCCTGTGTATTATGTAAGCCCAGGTTTACCCTCCTGGAGAGTAGTGCATGCAAAAAGAGACAGCATACAGTTATCTAGCTTAGCCATGGGAGGAAAACAAATAAAAACAATAAAGTTAGGATGGGGATGAGGCAGGGAAGATGAACGTTTGAAATAATTCTGAGTTCGGGTTCTTTTCAAGAAGGGTAACAACCAAAGGTAAAAGGGCCTACATTTGTTTAATTCTCCACGTAAAACCTTCTCCAAAGGAAAATAAATGCCAGCTCTTCATGTACCCTGTTTATACTGAGGTTTTTGTTGGCAGGCCATTAGGTTTCCATGGTAACAAGCAAACTATTCATTTAAAACAAAACCAGCCATGACTTTGTGCTTTGACAAGAATTTCTATAGCTCTTTTTTTTTTTTTCCAGAGTTCAACCAGATGACCAGATGACGCTGTAATCTTTGTAGCCACAAAAGCACCTGAAGGTCTCTTCTCTACTCAGGTCAAGACTATCTTTTATATGTAGTTTGGAATAAGTTATACTTCCATGATGTCTGTTTATCCCCAGTGCTTAAAAAATTTGTTTTTATTATTTTATTTTGAGTCAGTAGTCAGTGGAGGAATCTTTGGTAGTTTGTTTTTTCAATGTCCATTTACAAAGACTCTTCATGCCAGTGCCTGGTGAATCTTTTATAGCCTCTGCCAGGATAAGGTCACCTTCGAGGACTTAGGATAGAGATGAGGACAATAACTGGAAAAAGCCATATATGTACTAAAATTCCAACAGCACCATCAACGGAATCTAAAGACAAGGAAAACAAGTGCCAAGAAACAACCAAACAAGATATAAGTATTCCATGTAACAAGCAATAAAACTTCAGTGAACTAATGAAACTACTTTTGCATACGGAAAATATTTTTGGAAAATATTTTTTCAGTGTTATTTATCAGCTTCATTTCCAAGACAAGTGAAAGGAATATAATTTACATGTATGGTTAGGTATATGGTGTTAGGCATTTGATAAAATAAACATTTTTCAGATTTAATTTGACATAAAAAGAGACAAAAACTCCTTCAGAAGATCTTTGTGTGGGTTTGTGGCTGAACTGAACCTAAGAGTTCTGCTAGTCACATACAGAATATCCTCAGACATTCTAAGTGCCAGCTTTTTTTCCCCCAGGCTTCCAAAATGTTGAGGCTTCCAAAAGCCTCAAGGTCAGCTGATATATATTAGAATACATACCTTACCTGGGAATGCTAACATAGGCAAATCCGGTAATTCATTAACCTGGTTTAAGTTACAGAACGACAATGACCAAGGAGAGAGCTGAGGTTTGAAAAGAAGAGACACATGATCTCAGCTTTCGAAGACGTGGCCACAGTAACAGTAACTGCCTGTGCAGGGTTTGGCATCCGAGCAGTTTGAGCTTGGGGCCTCCAAACTGTTTGGTACTTGGGCATTAACATTAATTTAATACTCATCAATCACTATTCATCAAAGTGAATTTTATAAGTGACAAATAGACAAATGTAACAGAATACTTCCTCATACCACAGATAATTTTTTTGTTTAATTAGGATTGTTTCCTCTGATGTACAGAGGCTAAGTAAAAATAACTTTAATAATGTATAGAAATATCTCATTTAAAGTAGCCAGGCATTTCTCTGGATTTAGTAGTTTAAGAAAACCTTCTATTGTGTAATAACAAAGTCCCTGCAGGTTTCCATTGTCATTCCACTGTGCCTCCTGTTACCATGTCTGCTCTTTTCTTTCAGGAGTGAATTATGTTCTCTAGCTTTCCTCTTTTGGAAAGTTGAATTCACCTTATTGCATTTAATTTATCATATTTTTTCAGTGATTAAATTATCAAATGTAAAGTTTCTGTATGACATGATAACTATCTTCGGTTAGTATATTATTGTCACTGACTCATGTTATGAAATCCAAAAGCAATTGCATTCCTCTCTGAGGAGAAAGCACAGTTTTCTGTGCATTTGACAAACCTGCTTCATTTGAGTACAACTATTAGTCATTTAAGGCAAAATTAACCAGACTTCGGGTGAAATTTTTACTAAATGGGTTCCTTGAAATGCTAGGTATAATGACAAGAAGGTAAAACGGTGAGCAAAATGTCTCATTTTTACATACAATCTCAGTTTTTGTCTTTTTACAATGTGTAAAAATGGAATCAATTCAGTTCATATGAGAGAGCACTCACTGAATTTTTGTACAAATAGTACTTTCAACAACACCACTGATATAATTTCTCACTGATTACATACTCAATTAACAAAAACTCTGATTTGCTTTAGACTTAATACAGAATGGGATCTCATGCTCCTTTTCTTTGTAAATAATTGATGAACTTATTTTTATAAATTTCATTGGTGCTTCTTTATATGATCACAAAATTGAAGATTCCAGGTGGTCCTATGAAAATTGTTCAGTTGGAAGAATTTGTAATTGGAATGACTTTAGACTTCTTCACATCAAATGAATAATACGAAGATGATGTTTTTAAGAAACAGCCCAATACATAATTCTGATGCTTCTTGAATTACTTATCATTTTTATTTACATCTATTTTATATAAAAATAGATCTGTGGTGAAAAATGAAATTTGAAGATATGATTAAACCATAATGTTCAAACCAGAGTAAAAGTGAAATCAAATTACTAAGCAATTGATTATGTAATCTCTTCTATAGTAAAGGAGATTAATTATAGCAGAGAAAAATAGGGCTAACCCATTACTTTATATATATATGTGTGTGTGTGTGCGTATCATATAAATATATATGCTGATGACAATATTAAATTTGTTTAAATGTTTAGCTAAAGTGGTACCTAGGATATATCTTTATAAACTGAGGAAAGAAAGAGATGTATGTCTATATAAATGTCTGCTGAGTGTATAGATTAGCCAAATATTTTGAGAAAAGTTAAACACCTCTGCTGGTCATATTATAAATTAAAAATATTTAAAAATCCTAATTAAAAATAACAGACCTAAATCAAAATTACTTTTATTTTATAGTAGGGCAAATAAGTATATAGTTAAATTTAACATTTTGAGTTTGAATTATCTTCAAAATGGTAGCACCTCATATGTACAAATTCTAAATAAACAAGCTAAAAATGAATGTTTTGTAAATTATAATGTTAGTTTGATAGTAATCACATTACTTTAACATCTAATCAAGCTAATTCAAGAAGAAACACTTACTCTTACTCGTCAGGTCTTGTTTTGCACATTCTCCTTCTGCAATTGACACATCATCAATGGCAATGTCACCTTCAATGCCCGGGCCTCGAATACCTTCAAAAATGAGCTACATATGGGAATGAAAGAAACCGAAAAGTAGAGCTTTAAGTTGCAAATGAATTTCTACTGAGAAATTGAGGCACGAAACCTAAAATTGTCAATCCATACATCTTTTTTACTTGATGACCTTCAAAATTCTTACTTACCAGAACCAAATTATCTTAATAAAACCAATAATGGGATATGCCTTGCATAGTATATGATTTTTTCTACAAAAAATTCTGTGTTGTTCTTAAAACAAAACTACAATGAATTGAATAATATAATAAAACCACTACTACAAATCTTATTACTTTTTTATTTTAGTGTAAAGAAAATTTTTACTTTGAACAATTATTTCTCTATAAAAGATTCCCTCCAAATTTCTATAAATGCAACACTGGTGTTCTTAACATTTTAAAGAATAAATTAGTTTTGGGTTTTCTACAACAGTGTTATGTTTTTTTGATGCCCAGAACAAGAGTTTGTCATCTCTAGAAAATTGTTTGATGTCTTGTAAATATAGTGAATACGTTCCTCATATTCCCCAAATGTTATAATTTATCACTACAACTTCACTTTTGACATTCTATTTTTAAACACTTGAAGATATTTATGGGTCTACAGATGGTGAGTGTTTAGTAGCCAACTTTAAATTTCCAGTATCTAGAATAGTGGTTGGCACTGAGGCTTATAATACATGAGTCTCAAGAGAATACATGAGTAAAATCATCTCTCTTTATTGCTAAATTCTGGATACAATGACAATATAAGAAAAATTAGCAACTTATTTTAGTGATTGCTATTTCACTTTTATAGAAACAAAAACCTTTCAGAATTTTTCTATAAACCCTTATTTATTTCTTGCTTCCAGCTATACATTTTAGTCCTGATATTAAAAGGCAACCCATGCATTTTGTGACTTATAGTTCCAGAAAAAATTCTACATGTCGAAATGAAATATTTTAGTATTTCATTTAGTATTTTAGTCTTTCCAGAGAATAATTGGCTAAATAAAGAGCAATTTTAGCATCAAGTTGATGTGTGCATTTTTAGAGAATTTCTACCTTTATTTCATTGCAGCAATTTATGGTGAAAGTCTATATGAATACCAAAAATTTTGTTTTTATTTTTTGTCTTTGATGGTATCTTAATACAGTATCTTAAAGGCAAATTTGTGGTGATTTTTAGAGAATTTAAGCATCTCTTGAAAAGCAACCTTTGATCCATTGTTCTCTGATGTACTACTATTATCATTTTATCAACTGAACTAATTAGTAAATAGAGAATTTAGTTATCACCTTTGGTACTGAGTCCCTGTCCCCTGCTTCAATATCTTTTATAAGAATAAGAGTTATTTTTGTAACCTGAAGGGGAAAAAACCTGAGAAGATTTTATTACTACATTTAATTTCTATAGAGATGTTTTTCTGCTTGCTTATGATGAGGTATGTTAATAAAGAGTCATGTCTTGGAAAGTTCAAAGCCATTTCTTGGAAAAACACCCAAAACACCCTGTATCGCTGAAGCCATAATAAAACAGCAGGTCAGCATTCCAGTATTCTGAACCAGTTGGAAGCATACAAATGCTCAGCCCTCAAAATCAGCAATGAAGCATTCCTTAGGCTGTCTGGAAATAATTACTTATATTTGAATTGGTTTTTTTTTAACTTTAAATTTTTTTAAATTATTTTTCAAGTACAGTTTTCTGTCTATTTCTCCCATCTCAGCCCACCCCGCCCCGTGCTCCCCACCTCCCTCCCATTTCCACCCACCTTAGTTATTGTCCCTGTGTTTTTTATACTTGTTCCTCTAAATCCCTTCCCTATTTCCCCTTAAATTCCCTCCCCTCTCCCCTCTGGTCACTGTTAGCCTATTCTCTATTTCAGTGTCTTTGTTTTTATTTTGCTTGCTTGTTTGTTTTGTTGTTTAGCTTCCTATTAAAGGTGAAATCATATGGTATTTGTCTTTCACCCCCTGGCTTATTTCATTCAGCATAATGCTTTCCAGTTCCATCCATGCAGTTGCAAAGGGTAGGAGCTCCTTCTTTCTTTCTGTTGCATAGAATTCCACTGTGTATATGTACCATAATTTTTTGATCCATTCATTTACTGACGGGCACCTAGGTTGCTTCCAACTTTTAGCTATTGTAAATAATGCTGCTATGAACATTGGGGTGCATAGGTTCTTTGAGATTGGTGTTTTAAGAATTAGGGTTGGTTTTTTGGAAGGTGTCTGGGAAGTGTCTGAAAAACCCTCAGATGACTGTTTAAATCACAAGTGAGGATTTTTCTTTTACAAGTGAGGATTTTAAAAAACGCTAGTAATATAAAGATACAAGAGCACTGCAAATGGAAAAGAAGTCATTTTAATGATGGCAGAATATTCCACCTTGTAGATATTGTTCATCAATACTGAGCAATACTGGGTGCATTCCAAAACATTCTTAGACACTCTTATTTAGAGTGCATGGCTCTTTAAGGTCCTCAAAATGGCCCCTGTCAGCACTCTGTGAGAAGGCATTGTGGTTGTCCTAACCACGTGTTTCTAAGTCTTTTGGGCACTTTACCTTTTTTGATATATGCTGCTTACCTGGTAGGCAACCAATGTTAGAATAAATCAGTGGTTATTCCCATCCCTTCATAGTTTTAGTTATAGGATGCTGAGTCTTCTCTCATGAAGATAACAGCGTGAATGGAATGTTACCTTGGAGAAAGGTAAAACTCACAGATTCATGTTGACATGAGTCTTATTTCATATAATCAAACATTTTCATTTTGGCCACAAGGCTAATACTTTATTGAATGTGAGTGAAGTGCTATCATCAGAAAATTTTCTTCCATAAGGGTAGTTTAAGGGTTCGAACTGAGTAAAATGTACATTTCTGCCTCGCAGTCAAGTTTTGATTCTGGAATGAAGCAGGGATAAGAATGTATTATTTGGGAAAATCTGATTTGGTGAGAGGAAACCTCCTGAGTCCACACAAGTTATCATTTGATGAGATGGAGAGAGAAGGGAAAGGGAGTGAGCACTGCTCACAGAGGAGAATGCAGGAGAATTGCAAAGCAGCTGTCATAATTTTATACGAAGATAAAGGGCTATGCTCTGCATGCGAAGTGAGCTGCTGGTGAAAAGGCTAGTAAGTCGTAGGTTAGAATGTTCTGCACCTGCTTGCAAAAACTTACACAGAAGCTGAGGTTATAATCCTTTTATAGGAAAGTATTCTGAACAAATAGGCTTGTGATACATGAATTTTCCATCTTAGTTATGCAGATGTGAGTAGATACTAAAATTAAGCATAGTTTTCCTTATTTAAAGTACATAATGATTTTCAGTAAGTTTTTTGTTACCTGGAGGTAAAAATCAAGATAAAAGAAAGGGGTTATTTTCAAACATCAAAATCAGTCCTGGCTGGCATGTCTCAGTAGATTGAGCACAGGCTTGTGAACCAAAGGGTCACCTGTTTGATTCCCATGCAGGGCACATGCCTGGGTTGCAGGCCAGGTCCTTAGTAGGGGATGCATGAGAGGTAACCACCATTGATGTTTCTCTCCCTCTCTTCTCCCTCCCTTCCCCTCTCTCTAAAAAATAAATAAATACAATTGTTTTTAAAATCAAACTTAAAATATATAAATCATCAAAATGATTCATGAAATTTTCAAGACTGCTTCTCTTGGAATGATCCTGTCATTACTCATAGCATTTCAAAAGTTCTGCCACTGACTTTTAAGCATTAAACACTCCTACTTTTTCTCTAATTTCCTTTGTCTTTCCTTCCTTTGGCCTCTCTTGATCAGAAACACAAGGTGAAGCCTAGGTTTATCCTAAAGATAAAGGACCTAAGGCAGAGAGGTTTTGATGGAAGCTGCTCCCTTTTTTTGTTATGGTCAGACTGAGACGGAGTGTTGGAGAGCTTTTTATGGTCAACATCAGAGTTGACTGACAGACGTAACTGAACATGTGTGCTACCCTCAGCTGGCAATATGTCAACTGTGGGTTGTAGGTGGCTGAGAAGCAAAAATACAAATCAGCAAGAGTCAAAGTTTCATGCGTCCAGATGACTGCCCATATCTGGAACATTCTCTTACATGAATACTTCTTTCCTTGGTGATCATGAGTGTATTGTTATAGTAAAAGAAGCAGGCTGATTTGTAAATCTATTATTTACATTTATCTGTACAACTATGCATAATACAGTTTGTGACTGTATGAAGCGAGTTGATTACTTTCTATATAAACATAGCAGGTGTTTCATCCATTTGTAGAATTAAACCAGGGATGAGTAGCAGTTGTTACTAGAATCATAAAAATAATTTCAATCACAGTCTTGGTGCAGTTATAATCAGTATTTTTAATATTTGTCATGCCATGACAACAAGAAATCTAATCACATAGGCCAGAAAAATACTGTAGTCTTCCTCAGGATCCGATTTGAGCAGCGAGATAAAGGTCCTGCGGAGAATGTTTGTTTCCGGTTAGTCTCTGCACCAGTTTTGCCCTTCAGAAGACAGAGGACTGTATTTAACTTGTCTTGACTCTCATAAGAAATATCTATTGCATTGCTCTGTTTATGCTCTGAACTCCAATGAAAATTATATCTTTGTATTATTGTAACAAAATTTTGTAGATCCTAGTCAACTCATGAATGGCTTCTAGACTTAGACTTAAACAGATACCTTTTGTATATTGTTTTGACTCTGAGCTAGAAAACAGAGAAAAGATGCATAGATACTAAATTTAAGAATGCACAATGGACCAATTTTCAAGTATTTATAAAAATAAATCCTTGGCGACAGTTTTTTCTCAAATATAAAAATGAGGAACTCTAGCAATTAATTATAATATGATATATCCCCACTTGGCAGATATGACTTGTATGTAATGAAGAAATGCTCTCTAATGGAATAGGTTAAAGTATGTCATATTTTATGAAGCACTATTGTGGTTCTGACTATTATTGTTACAGAGATAAAACTATGTTCCTTTCCTCTTCTATATTCCAAAATGAATTTGGTTTAATTGCCATGAA